ACGATTTCCGTGCACTCAAAAAGTTCGAGAACCATTTTTCTTCTGCTGGCGCCCAGCTCCTCAAAGTTCGCTCTTTGGCCATTGTGTTCGTACATGCACATTAACTTCATTTTGTAATCACGCGCACCATAAATCCAATTTAATTGTGCTGCTTACTTGCCTGCACACACACACACACAAACACACGCACACATACAGCGCTTGACAACGTTCACACTGCGTATACTTAATATTTGTTCGGTCGTGCGCTCAATGCCCAGCTCAAAGCTAAATAGACGCACATAAATTTCCCTCGATATCCGTTTGATTTCTTCGAATTGCATTTTGAAAAATAGATGTTTTATACTGCTTTCGCCTGATGCTGCCGCACTGCCCCGCTCCACCGGGCCCATCGTCAAGCTTCACCTTGTCTGACTGATTTACTACGCACAATTTTCTGCCAACTGGCAGGAACTTGCCAAGCGTATGTTGTGCCCTGTTACGTGGCTGTATCTGTGCTCGGCGCGTCCAGTCAGTAGTCACTCGCTCTGATTTATGTTTGACTGAGAAGCCTGAAATTGTATGCTAATCGGGCCTGGCACTGGGCCATTTGTATAGCTGGCGCTCCAATTGATTTTAAATGGCTAGCTCATTTGACACTTTGACTGAGCGATTGATAATTTGAATGTCATTAGCCGTTTATGTGTGCGGTCTAAATAACAGCATATCATCAATTCGCAATCAAGCCACTCAATAATGGCACTCCACAGTCAATTGACACTTTCTGCTATTCAATATCATACAATATATAGTATAGTTTATACTAAGACTATGACATAGGCATATTTGTTTGCTAGAGATTTTATAATGGACTTTAGTTTTTTATAACAAATGTTTTAATTATAGCTCGCAAATTAATCATATATTCTTGCTCCGACCTACGGTTCTTTTCGTTTTTGTTTTCTGTTGAGCGGTTTGAGTTGAACTATTCGTGTGATATTCTTTGAAGCAGGGACCGCAAATAAGTGTTACGCATTTAAAAAAATTGAGGCTCAAAAGTATTCCCAAAAAGAGAGAGGAAAACACACATAAGGATATTTTTTTATGGCGAGTTCAAAAAAAGGATAAACTTTTATTGGTAATTTTTTATAAAAAAATTATTTTTAATTATTAAAATTGATTTTTATGATAAAAATCAAAAATAATTATTACAAAACAATTTTATATAAAAATCAAATCATAAGTCTTATATTTGATTTTTATTATAAAAATCAAAAATAAAAATTATTTTTTAATTTTTTCCTATAAAAGTTATAATCGTTACGGTCCCTGCTTTGAAGGAACATCGTTTAGGGAGAGCTACGATTAGCGTTGGCACAATGAGAGTCAGACTAACTCCGCACCGAACTCATAAAATCAATGCCATCGGCTTTCACAGTCTCATACACGAACGCTATCGCTGTGTTAAATATTTAAACCTAAAATTTAACATATATAAATATCACGAATACCATAACTAAATAAAAACCAAACGGCGTAATTTTCAAAATAATTTGTTGAAAAAGTAAAGCTTCCTTAACTTTACTGGCAAAATCATTTTTGACATTTACCAAAAATATCTTCTTTAACCGACGAAACTTTTATGTAGATCAGAAAAAAGTTTTTCCACCAGCATATAATATAATATAAGTTAAGATTATCGACAATCTAAGGAGGCTGAAGAGTCCAGTCAGACATTCAAGGGGAGATCCTAACGAGTAGAACAGATTTAGTTCAGTTTATATTCGGACTAGAGAGAGTTTAGACCTATTGTTCCAAATTATATAAAATATATTAGAYCTATTATTCCAAATTATATAAAATATATTATTTCATTGAACACCAAGTTGTTATATATTCACAAGAACCCAACACAGCGTCCCTAATCACTAGTACTCTAGTGTGGGAGCGCTCAACTTATATTACTTGCAAAAACATATTTAAGAAACATCAATTTAAATACATATATGTAGAACTGACGCATGGTATCCACTACATATGTAAAACATAGTTTCGATTGGGTTTCCCTTTAACTCTTGATAGCTGATCCCACTGATTATATTTTCTTTTCATTCCATTTGCTTCTGCTCTACTCAGGCTACTCGAGCGACATAAAACATCTGAGCTCTAGTGCTGTTGGTCATTAAGCGCAGCTGTTCGACGTCCGCTTCACTATAGTTTGCCATAAATTGCACGTCTTGGTCCCCTTTGATGTACAGTACAGTCTGCTGGCAGCGCATGGCTAAGCTCAGAGTTAAAAAGCAGAAAACAAGAATAGATATCAGCAAATTTACTGGACACAACTCATTAATGCGAAACGCACACACACACACACATGAGACACATGCGCTCCTCTGAGGACACACACAATGCACAATTGGCTGCACTTGTGCTGGGCCACTTAGTTGCGAAGGGCGCTGGCAAGCCGCAATGCCACATCGGCGAGTGGTTAATGGCCAGTGGTGCGCTGCTCCAAATCCCTGCGCGGTGGTCAACTGAGTCCATGTGTCATGTCCATGTCACGTTTGCCAATTGAAGTTGAGCGTTGCGTGCGGCCCTGTTTTCATCGCGTTATGTATGCAGCATATCCGGCTTTGTCATTTCATACTAATCAACATCCGCTAACTACTTTTTGCCCAAAAAATTTGAGTACATTATTTTGGTGGTGGGGGTGAGGCACACCCACGATAGCTGTCAGATTTGAATTTGTGCTGGGCCAAGCGAAAGCGCAATATATTTTCAATTCTATTATAGCCATTTGTTGCAGCATTTGCATTCTAATTGCATGCGGGTCGAATTCGTTGCACTTGCACAACAATGCGTGTAAGTGACGCGCATGGAAATTATATTTGCTTCGCCGCGGATCGCATTTTGGCCAACAAAATGTAACAAAATGCAGGGAAATTGTAAATTTATTGCATGCCACGTATACATGAAGGCACACACAGACAGACACACACACACACACGCCTATATACACTCACACGCACAGTCAGGCAGACAGAATCACACGTAGTTTAGCCGTTTGCCTTCATTGCGCATATTACGCATACGCACCGTTGTTAATTTCATATTCTGAATTGATGGCAACTCTCGCCGGGCCCCAAAAATGAAATTGTACTCGTACTGCCACTCTAACTAGTACTTCCTTTGACCATCCACTCTATTATGCATTTTGGGCAACAGCACGTGTTTCTACTTTAGTGTACTTGTGTGTGTGCTTATGTGTGGGTGTGTGTATGGGCGTAGATTTTAGAAAATGGCCACTACTTACCTACTGCTTATATAAAGCCTCTGCTCGCTTTGATCTAAGCTAAGCTAGCATCCACTTTGGCCGCCTTTTCTAGCCTCATCTTAAGTATCCATTGACTTTAATTGGACAGCTCTCTAAGGTGCGGCTATTAAGGCTTTATTTGCCTTTGGAGAGACACCCACAAATACATTTCAAAGTAAACAGCTCTCACACAGATACACAACACAGGCACACACACTGTGATACGTTGATTTTGGCATGGCTGTAACCCACGATTTTACTTTATATCCGCAGAGAAATAATGATGGCTATAACATTTAATATGTATATATGGCTATGGTTTTTATCAAATAACCAAATCAAATATTTCAGTTAGTAATTCTATCTACTTATATCATTGGCTGACTAAAGAATTTATAAAATGATTATATAGGTATAATTATAATATATATTAATTAGCATTATTACATGATTTTAAGATAATGAAAAATAAATTTCATATTTTTTCACTCATTTTGAAATAAGTTATATATATTTACAGTTAGCGTAGCTCATTATTAGTAATTAATAGAAGTTCTAAAAATATTTTAATTTAATTTTATTTCATATTACGTAAAATCTTTGTATATACCTTATATATATAAAATATATATATGAGCAAAATTAAATAATATATGATTTATAAATAATTGAAAGTATCACATTTTTAACTTAATCAGCCCAACTAATTTTTATTTAAGAAACTAAATAGCAGATGTATAAAATAATAAGAAGAAATACCTAAATATGACATACAAATTAAACGTTATTATTATTTTTATTTTATTATAATTTCTTTTTTCCTAACATCATCATTCATATGTAATTGCTTTACAAGAGTCTTATACACACGGTAGTCTATTTATAAATTATCGCCAGCGTTATTTAATTACTTGTGCTTGGCAACTAATTACTACAGTTAGTTTAGCATCAGCAACTTCATAATGCAGCGCGCGACTGTCTGTCGCTTATGCTTATTAGTCGACAGGACGTTTCATATTGCTTGACATTTTCGCAAGCTCAGCAATAAAAGCGCATTCTATTTATAGAGCAAGCAAACAAATTAACGAACGCACACACACACAGAGTGAAAGAGATAGTGATGGTAGTCTATATTGAATATGAGTGGGCATTGTGGGTTGGAAGGGGGTTTGAGGGTTTAGTGTCACATTATTGACATGCGGTCGCAGGGCAAGGGAAAACATCAAAATATTAGCAGCGTCAATAACTGCAGACATTTGCCATTTTTGAACGATGAGTGGAGCGACATGAAGTGTAAACGGGAACAGCAGCAGAGAGCAGGGAAAGGGAGGGAAGTGAAAGCGGTAGCGGGCTAGAGAGGAGAATAACTGGTTGGCAATTGAATGGCATAAAAAGCGGAGCAGAGCCAATGATGTTGTCGATGGCAATGAGGCAACGATGATGACAACGATGACGATGTGTGTTTAATGTTTAACGATGTTTTTGTTGTTGCTGCTGTTGTTCACAAATTGACTTTTGTTCTGGTGCTGGGGCTGCGGCTGTCGCTCTCGCTGTCGCTGTGGCTGTCGCTGTGGCTGAAGCTGTGCCTGTGGCATTCGCTGCTGCTGCTAGCTTCGCCGCTCGTCTACAAACATTTGCTCGATAATATGCCGACATATGCATAACGACATAAGTAGCTTACAAGTTCCCTGCTCTATCTCCATTCCAGAACTACAACAATATCAACAGCAGCAGCAACAGCAGCAGGTTGGTAAACATCAGCCAAACGGGGCAGTGCTGACGGGCATGCAGCCCCACTATATACGTGGTCCACGCCCACCGATGCGTACTGCCTCCTCATCGACAACGACCACCACCAATAGCAGCATCAACTCTGGCATGGGTGCAACCGGGCCCGGTGGCAATATGCTGCTCGATCAGACGCCATCGGGCGGCAGCAGCAGCAGCGGAGTCAGCAGTGCGCCCAGCTCCTCCAAGGGACACATACACGCCCACTCGCACGGTCACATGTCGAGCGCCCACGGCGAGAGCTTAGCCATGAGCTCCACATTGTCGGCGTCCCAGCAACAACAGCAGCAGCAGCAACAGCAGCAAGTGCCACAGGCAGCCATCGACGAGATGCGCGTCTGATAGGTGTCGGTCTTTGAGTTGGACTTATAGTCATCAACGGGGTAAGTTGACCGTAAGCAACAGGCGTCTAGTTGCAGCTGGCATAATTACTGCCACTGCATGTAGGCCAACACAAAGGTGGACGTAAGCTAATATTTAGGCTGACCAGCTTAAGCCGCTGATATACGAGTACTTTAAAGAGTAATCTGGAAAGGCTATGTCTTTTGCCTTAAGTTGAATAATTAATTTTAATTTATTTTGTTTTCTTTTAATTTACATATCATTGAACTGGTAATCTAATTTCAAGCGAAGTGGTTTAATTTCTGATTTTAAACATTGAACAATTTTTTACACATCGAAAATAATATAATAAACAAAATTTTAACAAAGCCTCGACTTCTTTATAGAATCGGTACCATCGTCCTGACACTTCCGTTTCATTGGAAATGTTAGTTTGTGCCCAGATTCAGATTCACTGTGAGCTTCCACAGCGTCGACTGGTTTCTTGTTGAAGTCATACATGATCTCACCTGTCGCACTGATACGCCCGTACTCATATAGGTAATACTTGTTGTCGATTTCACGTATAATGCCAAATCGTAGTCCAACATCCAGAGCTTTGTACAATTGCTCTTCGTTGTATTTGCGCTTCCCTTTGCAATTGATATTCTTGAGAGCTCTTGCCACTATTTTATACAAATGGGTGGGTGGAGTCAGCTCCTTCATGGCCTCAACCAGATAATATCCATATGTGTATTTCGTCATGTTTTTCTTTGATTTGTTAAAAATATGTTTTTGGAGTAGTTTCAGAGTGCGGATATGCCTGTATATCGTAGCTTAAATAGTTGCTAGAAATGTCTATGGTAACTTTATGCTCCTCAATGCTGGGTTTCAAATTTGTCCACATCAGTGAAACTATTACACATATACATATGTATGTCGTGCCGTTACGTTTTTTGCCTTCCATTACAACTGTGCTTACCAACGAGTTCCCGGTTAATTCTTTCACCAAAGCTTCTCACCTCTTCTATAAAAACTTCTATTGCTGGTCACATAGTCTAGTTGATCGAAAGCATAGCGACCCTTTGTGAAAGACATAATTACCACTCTCGCTCACACTTAGCAACAGCCGGGACCACGTTCAGCAACAGCTATAGTTGTCTCCGTCTTAGTGAAAATAAATCGTTTAATTGTCACTAAAATACTAAATCAATCGATCAATACAAACTACCAGTTTTTCCCAACACTATTGCATCAAGAAATCCCCTGGTAACTTCAACAATCGCACCGATACTACATATATACATACAAATATATACATACAAATATATACATACATATATATACATACATATATATACATAAATATACATTCAATACGTTAACCCCATACAATGAAATGGTCTCGGCATTCTTTTAAATATTTCAGCATATTTCATATGCATATATGTATGTTTCGTCGTGCATCTTTAAAATGCCAACTGTGCCGACGAATATGACAAAAACGTTAAGCCCTTATGGTTGGGCAATTGACAAGGTTGACATGAAGGTGGAAAAAAATAAAATGTCCCCTGTGCTGATTAAATATAACAAACGGCATGGCACACGCATGTGGATGCATGGAAATTCTCTTCTTTTATTTCATATAAATGAAAATAAAAGAGATTGAATTGAAATTCCCATACATGCCCTTTACTCAAATGTCACAGCTGCTGACATGGAATAATGTGAAGAGCAACAACAAAAATAAATAAAAAACACAAAAAACGCTTCAGCTAAAAAAAAATCGCAATAAAGTCGTTTAAATAAGGGACAAGTTGACAGCCTAGTCGAATGAACTTTGACATTGCAACAAACCAAAGAATACAAAACAAAAGTTAATGTTTTTCTCAGTTCCTTGTTTTAAATTTTTCCAAATTAATAGGCATACAGCTGAACAAAAATATAACTGTGCCATGCCAAGCAAAATCAAATATGAAAATCATTCGATGATTTCATAAAAATAACTGGATTCAAATTAAAAATTAACAGCGTCTGCTCTTTATAAAACATGTACAAGCAGGTTGTCGGAAGTAAGAATTAAGATGAACTGAAAGGTGGCACTGATTCAGCTCTTAAAAGCATTGACAAAATATGTTCAGCACATACTTCAAATTATTTTAGAATTTTACCAGATTTCAGATTTGCTTTCATATAGCTTAAACATATTAATTTCCAAATAAAAAAGTAATAAAATATGATTAAATGTAAAATAATAA